AATAACAGCATATGTGTCTGCACAGCTAGCAAATGAGGCTTGAAATGTAGACTAGGCCTAAATAAAAGTTGTTTATTGTGTTTTGAGAATGAGAATGGTTCAAGGCAACTCTTCATATAAATGACCACAGTTCACATAATTATAAATGCCAAAATTACATACTGGAGATGCGGCCAATGCGTTTATCCTTTGCTAATGGCTGCTTCCTGAAGCGACTTTAATTCGGAATGACCCTTTGAGTATCTGCATACTGTTCCCACCATGCCCTTGAAAAATAGTTCGCCCAAAACAGAAAATTTGACAAATTACTCATCCTCAGGCCATCCAAGGTGAGTTTGTTTCTTCATCTGAACTGATTTGGAGAAATGTATCATTACATGCTCACCTCTGCAGTGAATGGGTGCTGTCAAAATGAGAGTTCAAACAGCTGATTAAAAACATCACAATAATCCACTAGTAATCCACACGACTCCAGTCTATCAATTAACAAAGTGAAAAGCTGCATGTTTGTAAGAAACAAATCCATCATTAAGGCATTTTAGCTTTAAACTGTCACTTCTGGCCAAAATACCAGAGAGTATTCTGACGGCCCCCATTTACTGCAGAAGATCCATTGGTGAGCAAATGATGTAATGCTAAATTTCTCCAAATCAGTTCAGATGAAGAAGCAAACTCATCTTAGATGGCCTGAGGGTGAGTACATTTTCTAAAAACTTTCATTTTTGGGTCAACTTTTCCTTTAAAGGGTTCAAAAAATATAGTTTGGAATTTGTCTGATGTTTCATCAGCATTAGAATGAGGGTGTGGCCCCCATTTACTGCAGAAGATCCATTGGTGAGCAAATGATGTAATGCTAAATTTCTCCAAATCAGTTCAGATGAAGAAGCAAACTCATCTTAGATGGCCTGAGGGTGAGTACATTTTCTCAAAACTTTCATTTTTGGGTCAACTTTTCCTTTAAAGGGTTCAAAAAATATAGTTTGGAATTTGTCTGATGTTTCATCAGCATTAGAATGAGGGTGTATATACACACACACACACGTCTGGTTCACTATCCTTGTGGGGACTCCCCATAGGCGTGTATTTTTTATCGCCCTACACAGAAAACTGTGCATTTTTACAATCTCAAAAAACTCATTCTGTATGATCTATAAGCTTCTGTACCCATGGGGAGCTCAATTTAGCTCCCCACGGTGACACAAGTCCCCATGAGTTAGTGTGTATTCAGGTTTAAGTTCCCACCAGTGTAGAAAAACCTGCACACACACACACACACACTGTATGGATCAATGAGGCTGTTTTTTGGCTTAACTTTTTTCTGTTTTGATAAGTTAGACTTCTTTGTCATATGATGGCTAATCATCCCCTCTATACAGGTGGTCTGAACTCTGACTTGTTATCTCTTCCAGCAACAGACGTTTCCATTCCCAGTCTTGCGCCAGATGCCTGTTGTGCATCCAGCCAAAGCGCCAAACCCAAAATGTGTAGACAGAGACAAAACCCTAATTCAGAAATTCCTACTCCACACGCACAGACCATCAGGTTTAGTGAATCATTCTGTCTTATGCAGCTTTTCTATTTTGAACATGGCTGTACTGTCATTACAAAAACAACAAATACAGTTATCAAAGCCGCTACAATCCGGTTTACAGCAAACCGTGAGTCAGTGGGAGAAATGTGTTTAAGGGTGATTCTTTTAGCTTTCTTTACAGGGAAGTAGAAAAAACAGTTGGTGTAATAAATCAGATTTGTGGCAATCCCAGACACCCCATTCATACTTTTCAAAACTGTAGAGAAACAATATTCCACTTAAATGTTTGTGTGAAAGTGATCAGTGGCATCACTTTGAGCTGAGCAGAGGCAGTACGAGTTGATATCATCGAAGGAAGAAATCGTGAAGTTTACACCCGGCTCAAAACAAATAAACAGAACTGTGTCCTTTGCAACAGGCCTTGCTCAAGCAATTTAAAAAAATGTGCCGGTTCTGAGCTGAAGAGAATTGATTATCTAGTTAACTTTTACCCTTAAAAGTCCAACACATCCGGTCAAGACACTCCCACTCAACCGTCCACTGTGTCTGCTTTACTTCAGATGTTTAAACATCTCAGATATTTAAAACATTTAGATAGAGACATTTTTTATGAATCAAACCAGAAATGCCCATATTGAACTGAGAATAGAGACTGAAATGTAACTGAGAAGTAACTGAAATGCAGAAAAAGAGCTTCTGGTCACTATATTACTTATGACATTGTAACTGATTTCAGTTTATTAAGAGCACACACACAAACCATATCCAGTTTTAAAAAAACATTCACGTAAAATTAAAAGAGTCAGAGTGGTTACTAACTCATACGGAAGTAAGCATTCCTGATGGGTGAAGATTACTTCAAAAATCCAGCACAATCCAGCACTAAGGTCTGTTTAGACGGTCATTTCCGCCACAGATTATGATAAAACCATATGAGGTCAGCCTTAGAAACACTCACACATGTTGTCGTTTCCTCTGGTGGGTCTGTCGTAAGAGCGGAGATTCACGCCTCTCCAAAACTTTCGCTTCTTACACAACAGGCTGTCTGACTCCTTTAGCTGTGCTGTGCCAGGCGCTGCCGCACTGCTGGTAACATAGTAACTGCATAACTGAATTACTATGGTGGTTATATATTTTAAAGCATAAAGCAGATTTTTGTAGTTCACATAGTTTGTTTTATTATGACATTATAGAATTTCATAACAAATATGGTTATAAATTCTAAAATACAAAATGCTTCAAATGTTTGCTGGAATGTTGTCACATTTGTGACCCTGGACCACAAAACCAGTCTTAAGTCGCTGGGGTATATTTGTAGCAATAGCCAAAAAAACATTATTAGGGTCAAAATTATCGATTTTTCTTTTATGCCAAAAAATCATTAGGATATAAAGTAAAGATCATGTTCCATGAAGATATTTTGTAAATTTCCTATCGTAAATATATCAAAACTTAATTTTTGATTAGTAATATGCATTGCTAAGAACTTCATTTTGACAACTTTAAAGGCGATTTTCTCAATATTTAGATTTTTTTTGCACCCTCAGATTCCAGATTTTCAAATAGTCATAGTTCCTATCATAACAAACCATACATCAATGGAAAGCTTATTTATTCAGCTTTCAGATGATGTATATATCTCAATTAAAAAAAATTGACCCTTATGACTGGTTTTGTGGTATTGACAGAATAAATGAAAATCAACATGCTCAGTTGTTTATATGCACACTATTATACCAAAGTTTGGACACATACTGAATTTATGCTTCTCATGGACCTGAAAAACTTTTGATTTACTTACATTTAAATGCTTGAATTTTTTTAATTGTATTTAATTAAAATGTTTTAAGAAAAAGAAATGGTATGATTTCTTTACCAAAAAAAAGGTCAAAAATGTTTTACTAAATTTTATTAAAAATGGAGTACATTTTGACCACATAGTGAAGGAAAAGCAGTCAACAAGTGTTCATCAGTTTAAAAATGATCCTAGTATGCACCTCATGAAGTTGAGGTTAAAATAGAATAGCGTGCGCAAAGCTGTGATCTATGTAGGTCATAAAAGAGGCTGCTGAGGTATTTGTTTAGAGTATATTATCAAGGGATCTGAAGAAAAAGTTAAACAATGTGTAATGCTACACGGTACCCAACAAAGTGTGTCAAAAAGGGTGTGTTAACGACTCAGAAATGCACCAAAGAAATGACTGTGCAAACAGCTGGTTGGCAGATTGCCCTGCTCAGATAAAGCGCGAGTCTGCTGCTGATATAACATCATACTGTAGTTGCTGGGAGATCTCTCTGCTGCCCACTCACACAGCAGCTTATGAAACCTTTAAGACATTTCAGTGGATTTTACCACCATCTGGTGATGCATGAAAAACATATTTTTTTTGCTAACTAGTGTTTCCTTTTTCTAGACTAATTTACTCCTGTTTTTGTCCCACTGCAGAGGGTGAGAGAATGTAAAGTAAGCTGAGATGAGATAGGAAGAACATGGAACAACATGTTAGAATCACTTACACAAGTCATGTGCAGACAGGAGGGGATATCAAGTGTCTCTTACCCAAGAGTACCTAACCCAGGTGTCATAACGCTTCACATTCATGTCATAACACATAAATGCAACACTAGCTATTAGAGATGTATTCGCCAGCAAACTTTATGAAGACGAAAAACACATTATGAAATTACGGTTCAATCCGTGTATCATTCGATCATTCGTGTTTTGATTTAATATTGAAAGTATCAATATTAAAACAAAAATTGATTGGACGGAAGATACCCTGATTGGTTCCCACACCATTTTCCGTTATTCATTATAGCTGGATAATACTAAAATTAAAACAAAATAAAACAATCAAATTTCTTTAATAAAGACTGTCCTCTCAAAAAAAAAAAAAAATTTATAATAATAATTTCTTCTTTTTTAAATAGACATTTTCGTGAGTTTTCCAGGTTTTCTTAAAAATCTGGTTCATTTTAAGTTAAATCAACCTTCATAAGCATGTACTGTAAAATATTAAGTAGGCCTATTTGTTAAATAGTTCAAAACAGTTCAGTTCAGTTTACATGCATTCAATAATTAAACAAATCTAAACTAAAAAGGAACACAAATCATGCTAATGGTGACTTAAACAAACAAAAAAAAAGTTTTATCCTTTCATCATAAAAGACAACTAAATGTACAGATCCTCATAATTTCACATGTTTTGACCAACCACATAAAATTAAATTATCAAGCACAAGGGATTATGGGTATTCCCACCAGGCCAGCCACAATCCTTCTCCAGTAGATATGCTCAGTATTAGGTGCAACAATTATAAGCTTTATAAATTATAAACTCAAATTGTTTACTTTACAATACAATATTGCAGTGTGTGTGACAAACTAGAAGTTGGATTTCTTGCACTGTAAGTGCCAGGCTGTGTTTTGTCTATTTATCTCTCTCTGTGACGTGCTGCTTTAATTCCTCTACTGTAATCCTATTACATCACACCGTATTATTTCTGAAATGTAACTAACCATGATGTCAAAGACATTATTAGCAGAGACAGTACACAGCAAAGACAGGTAGTCACACCAAACACTCAGGTAAGAATGTCATTCTTCGGACTATTCTGTTGTTTACTATACCTACATATAACAGATTGAAAATATTGAAATGGTTAATGATCCCTTCAGCATGTTTCTCTGAGATAGTTCTTTCAGTTATTATACTGTACATGCAGGATGCTCAAACAATAGAAAAAATAAATAACCTGCTGAGCAATATATTTCACGTAATAATGTTTAATAATGCAGTTTTTGGTGTTCAGGTGTCTAATACTGCAACAACATATCTAAATCCTGCATAGGCCTTAGATAGACCTGCTGTGCATGAATACTGCAACTAGCACTTTTGCTAATGGAACTTGTTGATGTGAGTGGAAATCTGAGGTAAAATAGAGGGATGGCAAAGCGATCTGTAGGAGCTGGATTGAACAAGATTACTTCTGACATATTTCTGAGTATGTCTTGTTCGTAGAATCCAATGTAGTAGCTGATCAGCACAATTCTTCGCTAAGCAAACATGCACAATGGTAGTGTTCTGTGAAAACCACATAAATGCAGGTGGTTTGTTAAGATTGAGATGCTCAACATTTCCTTATTCAGGTGTGTATATGTGTAGCATTAGTATAATATTTAGTACATTAGTACAGCACTTTTACATGCAAGAAAACAGGAGCACTGTGGGCAAACCCATTACTCACAACGATATAATCTGATTGTAATTCTAATCCATCACCTATAAGAAAGTAATCTGCTAATTCCACCTCAACCTGGATAATTGTAACATACTCTGACAGTGTCAAGAGCTCATACAGCAGAAATAAAATCTACTTTGGTTACATTAGAATAACTGCACTAGTGTAACTGATCGTAACATAAAACTTCCCATTTGTTTGTTCATCTCATATAGTCTAGAAATATAAAATATGAAATACCTCAGGTCATTTCTTAGAGGAAGTTGCTCAAGATGGGCATATTCAGATGGAGCAACAACTTACTATTATTCTTCCATCCGTATACTGAAGCCACAAGCACAAATAAATTAATAAAGACAGAAAAGGGCTCATAGGAACTGTAATTTCTATCATCAGCTCTCCTGAGGATTCATCATGTCAAGTTCACCTGAGATTGAGGAACTACCAGCAACACAAACAGGTGGGAAAAGATTTAATTACTGATATCGAAACAAAGAAAGACATACGTTATAGAATATCACTCTGATTGCACAACACATCATGCTAACATCTATTTGTTATTTACACTAATGATGAGCTAATACTTGAGATTTCCCTCATTATGCTGTGATACACTCAAGATTATCTGTAATTAAAGGCTGCATTCTGGAAACTGATTTAAAATACAGAGTTCTGGCATGAAACTCTAGATGGCACAGTCCGATAGGTCTAACTCAATCTGACCTAATGACAAAATCATATCACATGGCACAGCTGATTGGTTCTCTCCTGTATTGGTAGCCAATGAGCTCGCTGCTCAACATTAAAATATATGACTAGTGCTGCCGTAGCAGTTGCAGCTTGCTTCAGAAACCCTCCACCTTCCCCAGCTGCACCTGTATAGATCTGATATGAGGTGATCATGTGTGCTATATGGGGGTTATTTCATGTATGTTATATTTGCAGCAGCAATATTTCTTACATGCTCACAGAAGCATGTTGTGGATGTATTGGCAGTAGCAAGTCTCGGTACTTGCTCTTGCCGCAGCAGCATAGCAGATCTATTCTGCCAAGACCAAATACATTAACCTTGTCATGTACATTACCATGCCAATTCCTCCGAGAGTTGTCATGACAGAACAAGATTTATTCAACAACCCATTGACTGAAATAACAAAATCAGATCTTAAATGACAAAAAAAAAACATTGCATCTCAGGGCCCAAAGGTGTGATCCATGACTGGAGAAAGTTCAAACTTGAGAGTGAGGACCATGAAAGCGTCCCTTCCAACAAGAGAGAGCTCCTCAGACAGATGTCCAACCCCAAATCCAGTAATGACGACACCCGGGAAAAAGTCAGCCGCAAGGTAACAGTGAAAAATTCCCAACTGACATCTACACAAATATAACAAGCACAAGAAAATGAGTCGTTTTAATTCCAAATACATCCCATCATTATAGCTTACCAGTCAAATGCTGTGTGCATTTGACTGGTTCTGTATAATAAAATTTTTCAACATTTTAAATGATAGTAAAGTCATCAAAACTCTGAAATAACAAAATAATGCAGTGATTAAAACAATTTAAGCAAATCTTCATGAGGTAACCATAGTGCCTAATAAATTGTGTTGACAACATTTCTAAAGATTTTTAAATAAATGTTTTTGAAAGACATCTCTTATGCTCACCAAGGCTGCGTTTATTTGATCAACGATACATTTCTGTGATGCAAAGCTGAATTTTCAGTAGTCATTACTCCAGGTGTCACATGACCCTCCAGAAATGATTCTCATATGCTGATTTGCTGCTCAAGAAACATTTATTATTATTATCAATGTTGAAAACACCCGTGCTGCTTAATATTTTTTCTGGAAACCACAATGTTTATTTATTGTGGAAACCACAAAACATTTTTTTTTAAAGATTCTTTGATGAACGGGAAGTTAAAAACAACAACATTTATGTGAAATAGAAATCATTTGAAACACTTTTGATGAATTTAATGCATCCTTGCTAAGTAAAAGTATTAATTTCTTTGTTTAAAAAAAATCTTAGTGACCCCAAACTTTTGAATGGCCTTCATTCGGTCTACTCCATTAATAAAAAAAAATATATATATTTTTTTAAATGTACGTTTTGTAAAGAAATTCATACATAAACACAATTTATCATTTACAATTAACTACAAAACTAATTTCAAGTGATTGACACTAAATTGAAAGATTTTTAAGATAATCACAATCATTTCAGAATCAATTCATATGAGTTTGTCCAGTATGTTGACTGGCAGTTTAAGAGTTGCTTTGCATATATATTAAAATTGCTGTGTTTCTTTGTCTGACCACATGCAGATGAGCGTTCAGGAGTATGAAATGATCCAAGAAGAGGATGAAAGGTGTCTGCGTAAGTATCGCAGACAGTGCATGCAGGAGATGCACGAGCGCCTGAGTTTTGGGCCTAAATTCGATGCTGTGTTTGAGTTGGATAGTGGGGAGGCCTTCTTAGATGTCATCGAGAAAGAGCACCGCATAACCCTAGTGGTTGTACACATCTATGATGATGGGATCAGAGGATGTGACGCTCTCAACAACTGCTTGACTTGCCTGGCAGCAGAGTATTCCACCGTCAAATTCTGCCGAATCCGAGCTTCTGCCACAGGGGCGGGTGAGCGTTTTTCAGATGACGTTCTGCCCGCCCTGCTCGTGTACAAGGCTGGAGAGCTGCTGGGCAACTTCATGTCCATTACAAAGCACCTGAATGAGGAGTTCTTCGCCATGGATGTGGAGAACTTCCTAAATGAGTACGGTCTGCTGCCAGAGAAAGAGTTTGCAGCCAGTCCCGATGAGGAAGAGAATGCTGATGTAGAATAATCAAGGAAATTCAAAGGGTGGAAATGAATTACATTAGTCAACCTGTCAGACTTGTTCCAGAGATAGATCGAGAAATGACGCTGTGACTACTGGACCATGACTCCCAACAAACACGCACACCTCAATGCATCTACTAGCACGTGATTTACAGCGGTTAAATACTTCATAGTGTTATCAAAGGCACACAGTCATGCTCATTTCATTTGCCAGGGTTCCCACAATTTTTGATTAATGAGTTTCCATGAATTTCCTATGCCCTTTCCAGTTTGTTATTTGTGAGTTTCTAGTTTGTGATTACTGGATAAGGATTTTTAAAAACCATTTATATTAAGATCAACTCACTCATGAATCATTCTGACTGATTTATGAAGCAGTTCAGCTGATTTGCAGTGAAAGGGAAAAGACTCACAAGGATGATTTTTCAGATCCATTGAGAAGTTCTCCACTGTATCACGTCGCAGTGTTTTGGTCGACTCAAGTTTAAGTGCTGACTTCTTGTCCTTTCCCAATCCCATTCCCCTGTCTCTCCTCAAAACTATTATATCTATATAAGGCAAAAATGCCCCCCCAAAAAAACAAAAACAAACAAACAAAAAAAAATATATATGTACATATATATATATATATATATATATAAAAAGACAAGGGAAAAAATTATTCACTCACAAATTGAACATTATTATGGTTTGCGGAGAAGCTGATGGAATATTTTATTAAGAAGACAATAAATAATAATGTACATGTTAACAGGTTTGGGGTTTGTAATTTTTTAAAAAGATACCTTCATTCATCAAGGATGCATTGAACTGATCAAAATTGCTCATAAAGACATTTATAATTTTACAAAAAATGTTTTTATTTCAAATTAATTCTATTCAAAGAATCCTGTAAAAATGCAGGGTTCTCAAAAATGCAACACAACTGTTTTCAATAGTGACAAGAAGAAGTGTTTTGTGAGCATCAAAACAGCATATGAATGATTTCGGAAGGATCATGTGACACTGAAACTTCAGCATTGCCATCACAGAAAGAAACTACACTTTAAAATACATTAAAACAGAACATTTTTTAATTCACCCAGTGTGACTGCTTTACTGTATTTCTGATCAAATAAATGCAGAATTAGAGAGCAAAAACATACAGACCTCAAACTTACAGTAGTGTACATTCATTACAGAAATTGATATTTTTGTATTCATTTCTCTGACATGTCTCTGAAATATTCTGAAATGTCCTGGTTTTCCATGATTATGGGAACTCTGATTTACAGCGAATGAGAGCAGCCATCTTATTTGAGCATGCTTAGGCTTGCCACATGGAGCAATTTGACATGAAAGTCAAACTGTGACACTGTACTTGTCATCCATTATGTATCGACATGCTATCTGCTTAATCAATAAATGATTTCATATGTTGTAATGCTGCACTACATGACACCAGAGTGACTTACTTCAATAAAACACAGAAAGGCCAAGGACACTCCTCACACCCAGATTTACGCATAGGCATTCTAGGTACGTGCCTATGCTCGCTCGTCCAGGGGGGGGGGGGGGGGGCCCAAACACAATGAAGAGATATATAATATTTTGTTACACATTGGGCTATCTACAACAATAAAAGAACCAAAACCTCAGAAGACATTGAGCAAATAAATATAACAAACAAAAGGGTAAAAAATGACAAACTATTTCCATGTCTTCCACCTTTTTTATGTATGGAAATCACACTTTCTCCAGTTCCCTCTCACAGACGCACACGCACGCGGACAGAAACTTGTCGTCAACGCCGCCCCGCGAATTTATCAATAAAATAGTTTTGCAGCTGAAAAGCTACACATTGAGCAAATAAATATAACAAACAAAAGGGTAAAAAATGACAAACTATTTCCATGTCTTCCACCTTTTTTATGTATGGAAATCACACTTTCTCCAGTTCCCTCTCACAGACGCACACGCACGCGGACAGAAACGCTGCTGCTGCTGAACACAGCTGAGACGCACAGACGCAGGTATTCACACGCGCTTAATTAATATATCTCTCTCTCTCTCTAATAACTGCATTACGCTCTTAAAAATAAAGGTGCACGCACGCGGACAGAAACTTGTCGTCAACGCCGCCCCGCGAATTTATCAATAAAATAGTTTTGCAGCTGAAAAGCTACATGACATTTCTCTGTAGGGAGGTTCTTGAAGCAGTTTAACTTAAAGATTCGCTATTAGTAGACGCTGCTGCTGCTGAACACAGCTGAGACACACAGACGCAGGTATTCACACGCGCTTAATTAATATATCTCTCTCTCTCTCTAATAACTGCATTACGCTCTTAAAAATAAAGGTGCTTCAAAAGGTTCTTCAAGCGATGCCATAGAAAAACCATTTTTGGTTCCACAAAGAACCATTCAGTCAAAGGTTCTTTAAAGAACCATCTCTTTCTTACCTTTTTATAATCTGAAGAACCTTCTTTCGCCACAAAGAACCATTTGTGAAACAGAAAGGTTCTTCAGATGTTGAAGGTTCTTTATGGAACCATTTAGACAAAAAGGTTCTTCTATGGCATCGTGAAGCACCTTTATTTTTAAGAGTGTAGACTGCATCAATAACTGCATTAGCATGCATATCAACGGCTCAAGCCTCTGTTATTAGCTCTAAAATGGCGTTTTGGAATTTGCAATGGTTTGAGGTGCGTAAAAAAATTGTTAAACACATTTCAGGACGGAAACATGTCAAATGTCTTGAAACAAATCATCTGAACAAGGTCTTGATGTGTGGTTTTGACTCCTGGCTGTTAAAGTTATTAGAGAAATAACTCCCGAAAGTGGTACGCCGCGCCTATTAATGGAATGGTCTTTCTGAGTTCTCAAACTAATTAAGAACTACATTCGATTCGATTTTTATTGACTGAACACATGCGCTTATTGCGATAGAAAACACTGTATCGTTTCCACTGATTAAGAAATATTTTTGTTTGCTTGGGTGGTAATACTAGGGCTTTTATATTAATAGGGAAGGGGGCCCAAAAATTAGTTTTGCCTATGTCACGAAAAGAGGTAAATCCGTCCCTGCTCACACCTATATGTCTTCATGACTAGTTTTGTGCTACAAATGCCATTCCAGGAAAAACGTGTCCTGACACGTACCCGACTAACTCACAAATCACAGGATGACTGTGTGTTTAAGAGAGTTTCCACTGATTAAGAAATATTTTTGTTTGCTTGGGTGGTAATACTAGGGCTTTTATATTAATAGGGAAGGGGGCCCAAAAATTAGTTTTGCCTATGTCACGAAAAGAGGTAAATCCGGCCCTGCTCACACCTATATGTCTTCATGACTAGTTTTGTGCTACAAATGCCATTCCAGGAAAAACGTGTCCTGACACGTACCCGACTAACTCACAAATCACAGGATGACTGTGTGTTTAAGAGAGAATATTCATGTGTAAGTGCTCGTTTGAAGGTGCAGGTGAATGTGGTTTTGGGTCAGCGTATCATTGTTAAACCTAAATGACTTTAAGGATATAACAAGATGATTTTGGTACTTAGAACAGGGGTCTTTAAAAGGGGGTCCAACAGTTATGTTTGATCTGAAACTAGAAAAAAAAGAAAGAAATATTAACTAAAAAACCCTCAAGTTCCTCTAAATGTTTCACTGCCCTGTCACATTAAAATGTGAACAATTTTAATGGATTTGCAATGTAGAAATCATAAAGTACGTACCACCAGCGTGTCCTTGGTCTGAAAAACATTTAAGACCCCTGATTTAGAAAAGAGGAGTGTCATTAAAGGGATAGTTCACCCAAAAATGAAAATTCTGTCATTTGCTCACCCACAGGCTATTTCAAACCTGTATGAGTTTCTTTTTTCTGTTGAACACAAAAGAAGATATTTTGAAAAATATGGGTAACCAAATAGTTGATGGTCCCCATTGACTTCCATAGTACGGAAAAAATACTATGGAAGTCAGTGGGGACCATCAACTTTTTTTCTTTTTTCAAAATATTTTATTTTGTTCAACAGAAGAAATAAACTTATACAGGGTTGAAAAACTTGAGGGTGAGTGAATGATGACAGGATTTTCATTTTTGGGTGAACTATCCTGATACCTTACATTACATCATCACAAAAATGTTTCCAGCAATCATATTTCATGCCAAAGGGATTTTCAGTTCAGTTAAACTTAATAGAACAGTTCCTTTATGCCTTTAATGCTCCGCTGTAACACAAGCCAGAAGAAACTGGTTTGATAATGACATGACAAATGGCACAGTGACAATATACTGAGGTAAGCCACAAACATATATGCAGGATGATGACAATCAACATTTTCTTTTGATCTGTTATTAATGTTGCATGAGTGAAAACACACCACTGGCGGTGAGCAATCTTCCAACAAAGGCTGCGTTTACACTGGCACAAAAAATCCGATCTTTCGCTCACATCTGACACAGATCGGAATTTGTTGCACACGTGTAAACACAAAAACCCGCACGAGATCCGATTTTTTTGCATCTGATCTGAGCCACTTCCAAATGTGGATTTTAATCGGATACACATCTGATATCTGGACATCCGACCTAAGTCTAAACACATATATCCGATTCTCCACAGAACTCCCAATGGGAGGGCGACACGTTTGCTCATAAAGATTTTTAATGGCGTTTTAATTGCCGGCGTGCTGAACAAAACAATTTCAGAATTTTCATGTTTTAGATTGTAGGTCATCTTGTTCCCTGTCAAGGACAAAGCTAACCAGCAAAACTTGATATCAAAAGCATCCTAAATGTTACATGTGTTTGCACCATATTGTAGTGAGTTACCTTTCTTGGTATTGCGGTTTCAAATATCCCACCATAATCTGTAGTCTGAGCCTGTCAAGGGCTAATGGCAACGGCAGATACGTTGCTAATTAGTTTAAAGGAAAATAATTGTCTTTTTTTTTGTTTGCCAATAACCCTGTGTATGTGTCCGCCCCCGCAACCCCCGGAAAAAAGTTCAGGCTCAGGATTTTTTTTTTTTGCTTTAACCCTCGAGTATATTATTACTCAATTAAAAGGTAATATATATATATATATATATATATATATATATATATATATATATATATATATATATATATATA